ATTCTTTCTTTGCAATATCATAACCAGAAGGCAACAGAATTCAGTGTCCTACTTGACACCAGACAACACTGAGGTAAAAAGACTGGTAGGACTTTTATCTGAGCCTAATTTGCACAAAATGAACGATTCCAACCAGGACATCTTACTACACCTTCAGCTCTCCTGTGAAATATGAATTTTCATGTCCACCTAGGAGCAATTTTACAGTCTTTCCATTCTTCTATGCCTGAGGAAGGATAATCGTGCCCAAAAGTTTGCAAATAAAGATTTTTTTTTGCAAATACCTAGTTGGTCTAATAAAAGATATCACCTCTGCCACGAGTTCTGATTCAAATAGCTGAGCCTAGATTCATCCCCAAGGTAAGGGACAGCAGAAGCTGGTGAGATCCTCCTGCTTCCCTTGGGGCCGCCCTGGACTCCCAGCACTTTTCTCGCACTGTTGAGCTCAACAGAAGTTCTGGCAACCCTTTATCACAGCCATGAAGGTCCATTAACAGGGCTAATTAAAGCCTCACAAGCTGATAGCAGCTCCAATGAATAGCAGCATGAGCTAGTCTAGAAGCATTACAGCTCTCTGTCACAATGCACCAGGGATAGATGCAAGTGGCTGTGCTGTTTGAGGACCTGATGCACTTAAAACCCTATAAAATAATTGTTTGCAAAGCAACCAGCCCCGTTAATGGCAGATATCACTCCTCAGGCACCATGCAAAGCTTGCAAGCAGGGCCTATGAGCAGGGATGGGAGCCATTTGATAGCTAGGCACTCCCTTGCCACGGAGAACATGTGGCTTCCAAGTGCCACAAGGGAGCCCTGCAAGGGAAAGGCGGCTGGGCGGGATGAAAGCAGCCAGCATGGCTGTGATCAGTACACAGGCAAGTGACGCAAAGGGAAAGGCAACAGAGGAACTTGTTTCATTACCCTCCAACTTCCCAGCTCGCCACCGGGCTGGGGAGACTCTCTGCAAGGCTGCCAGGCAGCTGCTTTATTCCAGTTACGTGACAAGCAAAGCTGATGTGGCAGGGAAAGGGGGAGACGGGGACTGGGATGAGGAAAGCCCACTCAGAGCAAGGTGGTGTGGAGGAAACGCCTCTCTCCAGCTCCCTGCTTGGCAGGGGCAGGCTTTGGACTGGGCAATTCGGGATCTAGTTTGACACAGCGCGTGAGACCCTCGATGTGTCTGAGCTAGACAAGGCCTTGAGGGATGGGTTTCCAGCTGTTCGCAGCTCTGCAGGGCCTCTGGATGTCTCCTCCAGCCCCTCAGAGCTCTTTGGCAGATCCCGCGTGCTGGCATGAGGGGCAGAAGTAGCTGCAGTATCTGATCAGGGTCAGCGGGATGGGGGGCAGTTTTTAGCGCAGCTGGTAGAAGATGATGGGCAAAGCCCCCCGCCTCCAACACGCACATTGCAAGTAGCCTGGGCCACAGTGCTGAGTGTGGCCCACCCCAGTGCCCCTGATGGGGGGTATGCCCCACTCTTACCCCCCACGCGACCCAGCTGGTCTCACGCCAGCCCCCTCCCTCCCTCGCCTCCATCTCTCCTGCTTTGCTGGCTCTCCCTTGTGGCTCCGACATCACAAATAACAAACAGATTTCAAAGCCCCCAGCTCACATTGATGTAACATCAATACAACGAGAGATAAAAGCCGAGAGATCCAGAACCAGCTGCCGACCGCACAGCGCCGACTTTTCCGCTGAATATTAATTGGGGTGTCAGAGGGGAAGTCTCATTAGCACAGCTGGAAAGGCCAGGTCAGCAGCACATCTGCCCCTGCCTGTTCCACGGAGGGAGGAGGCAGGGACTAGGTCTGAAGAGAGGAGCAAGCACTGGACCTTGCCCACCTGCAGGTACCCTCTCTCCTCTTCAGCGCGGAGGATCATGCAGAAGGAGCCAGCTCTGCGGTCCAAGTCTCCCCAGCACGACATTCACACCGTGGGGACCTCTCTAGCCCCTCCACCACTGCTACACGGGAGCTCAGGGCTGAGAGTTGCTATTCCACTCTCAGGGCGATGGGGGAACAAGCAGCATCACGGGATACCTCTGTCCTGAGGGGTTGTAAACCCCGCTCTGTGACATGTCTCCATGTAGGAGCATCACAGGCCATGAGACATGATACCAGGATTGTAGGGGAGAGCTGGGGCCCACGAGTGTGGATGCCCTGGTTTTGTGGCCCCAGGAGAGTGCCACTGGCCACTCCAGGCCAGTATCGCCCTGCTGAGTAGAGGGACAATGTGGCGTATGACATTTCCCTTCTTCCTGGACGGGGGCTCAGCTCCCTGAGGAAAGGGCTACATCCAGCAGAACACAGACAGGTATCACTGCAGAGACCTGCCATGCCTAGGCGTTGTCATGGGTCAGGACTCGCATGAGCTGACAGCAGGGCTGGGCCCAGGTGAACCATTTCTCCCACTCCCCTATGGACAAGCGTGGAGAGAGGAACCGTGCTGGGCACCTGCTTCCGTTAAGGGAAGAGAAAATGCCCAAAGCACAGAGGACACTCGCAAGGACATCCAGCGATGCCCACCCCATGTGTCAACACAGCTCAGCTTGTATCATTTATCCGCCCTGCATGAGGATATTTGTTCATGGTTTTGCATGGTTTTGCTTCCCCCGCCCTGTGCCTACAGCACGGTGACCCCTCTGCATCCCATGCCCATGGCTGTATAAGTGGCTTGGGCTTTGTCTGCATCTGTTCCCCCACTTCTTCCTAGACATACGCATTCAGCCTTGGCATCCATCCCCCTTTGGATCATCAGGGCTGCCTGGAGCCATCTCAGCAGAGACTGTGCTAGAGGAAATGGTGCCCCTGCATGCTAAATTTCTTGAGGTTTCTAAAAAAAAAATCCCTAGATCACAGTATATAGAAATTTCCTAATTGCAGCGCACACACACACTGGAAAAAACCTCCCACGCACTCTGAGAGGTCTTTTGATATTATATATATATAGAATTAAACATTCATTGGAGCAGGGACTTGCAGCTGGGGCTTCCCTATCTCTGCTAAGTGTCCGAACCCTTGGGCTATAGAGTCTCTCTCTCTTGCTGTCCTTGGCCCAATGCATATTTAATTATTTATACCAAGTGGAACAGCTCCAGGAGGAGAGACTGACTCTATAGTGTGACATTTAAGGCACCAACCTGAGATTCAGTGGAGGCCTTGCTCTGTGTGCTGCATCCCTGGTGAGTCTCCTCACTACCTGGCATTTTATTATTTTGGAGCGGTGCTGCTGGTTTCCCTCCTCTCTCCTCTCCACCCCTGAAGATCTCCTCGAGAAGCCTTTTCCTATCAAAAAGTTGTGGTTCAAACTGTTACATTTTGGTGAAAAGTCTCTGTTTCAACAAACGGGCATTTCCAGCACAAAACACGGTGGCAAACTGCTCACAATTGACTCTTCTGTGTATGATCCGGCCCCGTCTCCGCACTTGCTGTGCTTTGACATTTATGCTAATGATGGCAGGATGGTAGTGGCAGACCTCAGCCCTCCCCTGGGGACTCATTAGTAGATACCTGGCTAAATGACAAGGACCCCATTTGTAATGGGTTGTGGAGACCCTTCTTCAGGATAATTGCTCTCAGGACTGAATCCGCCATCCTTGAAGGAAAGAGGCACTGCTTTTTCCTGTCTCATACAGGTCCTAGAGTCCTCCTGACACCAGCTGCTGCAAACCCGAAGCAGTCATTTGGAGGGCAGGTATGTGTGAGCACTGAAATCTCCAGCACCCTCCACTCAGTGCCAGGCACTGGTAACAAGGCGGCCTGCCCGTACCGTGTTTCCAGGGTCCTCCGCTATAAAGCCTCTGACCTGGGAGACCCTCAGTGCCAGGCCTATGGTTAAAGGACCTCTGTGACCTAGTAGACCCTCTCAAACCCTTTCGCGCAGCCCTTGGATCGGAGGCTTTTGGTCAGGTACACCAACCTCTGTGTGAGGTCTCATCACAGGTGAAAAATCTCACTGTGAAGCCCCCACACTCATTGCTAGCTGCCCCAGATAGAGAAAACAATGAGCCCTGGGCCAGCACAAGAAATGGCTCTATCAAGCACTATTCTGTAGATTGCTTTTGTGCCAACATTGGACTGGTGTCCTCAGTCCTGGCCTGGCATTGATGGGAAAGGGAAGTTACAATCACACCCATCACCACTCTATTTCACTATTACAGCTCGGGGACATCTTGCTTTTTAAAATCAGTGCAGACACCCGATTGTCTCTGAGCTTCTCGTCCCTAAATCCACTGAACCTCTGCTCTCCATTCAGTGGTGTAACCAGATATGGGTGCGTGGGACCCCAGTCCCTGGCACCGATTTAGAGGGAGCACCAGAAGGGTGCGAGGAAGAACTTAGCACCCCCTCTCCCCCTAGAGCCCCCCAAATTCCTAGATATGCTTCTGCCTCCGTTTCACAACCGTACCGATTCACAACCTCAGGCCTTCAAGACTCAGGAATCAGGCCCCAAAAATCAGCATACTGTATTCAAAATTAAATCATGAGATTTTAATACACGTTGGCTTTCTTTTCTTTGCTATCTGAGCTGTTACAGTTGTCGTGCTTGTCCTCGGCACCACAACAGTGACTTTTTGCACGAGGAAGCAGATTCCCACGATTCCAGGAGCTGGGGATTCAAGACCAACACCAAATATCCCCGCAAACAATAAAAATCAAGACAGCGGGCAACACCGTTACCTTCTCACCTCTTTGCAGTTCCAGGTGACAGCTACAGCAATTGTTTGCAGGGAGAAATAAGTCAGGGATTCATTTCATGCATGTTTAGCCTCCGTTGACATAATTTAGCAGCTGTAAACACAGGGAAGGGGGTTGAAACATGTGAGCAGCTCTCCACACTCCCAAAGTAGCAGGGACTGCAGTCTGAGAACCATTCTTCCTGAAAAATACCTGGCCTGATTCTTTTATTCCAGCCCTGAAGAGAGCATTGAACACTCCTTTTTCTCCAAATAGGTTCACAGAGGAAGGCTAGATGGAAAAAAATGTGCAAAAAAACCCAACAAATGGGGACAGAAAAGGTAAATTTATTTAACAAACTAGTATGGCACACACTTCGATATTCTGCCCTTCAAAAAACAGTGTATTATAATAGTAAAGATACTACAATGTTCCCTGTTATAAAAATATAATACACTATAGCATGTCCTTCTGTTAAATAAACAGTGTCTCACATTGCAATGTTCCTCCCTTATTTAAATAAAAATTCTTCTGAATCAGACATTATGCCACTCTTATTAAAACAGACTATGTGGAATGACTTTGTGGCCCTGAACGTTTTAAGCGACCGTAACGTTGCTAGCTGGCTGTGCTGGCACCTTTTCTCATGAGGGACCATGGGCCATAGTCTGTCTCCTGTCACATATGGACTCTTCAGTCATTTGGAAAATCCCATTGGATGCCTCTCTGCAATCTAGCAGTTTGAATGCCTCCAAAGCACTGGTCCTTTGCTCAGAAAAGACCCCCATTGGTTTCATGATCTGAGTGATGGATAGTAAAACCAATGTGCCTCTGAACAAGGATCATTTAGATCACAGCTGTGGCCCTGCTAAACTTGAACGGCCCCTGTACACGTTACCCCGATTATACGCTCATGAAGAATCTGAAACCCACACGCAGCATACGCTGGGAACGGTGGCCCCGAGTCCCAGGAGAGGCCACAGGCCCCATTAAAAACAGAACACAATCAGCATGTGAGTCACTGAGCAGAAACTTTTCACATCGCTGCTTCTTGTCATGTCCACGCGGCTGTCAACAAAACCTTAATTTAATTGTGCAGACAAGCAAGGGGTGGAAAACAACAGTTTCAGCAAATCAACGTAATTTGCAGGGAAATTGGTGAGTTACTGGCAGGAAATGTAATGAGGAAGGAAGCGTCTTGGTGCAAGTTTAACTTCTTGCTTCTGCGGCTGCTCCGTCTCTTGGGTCAGAGGGGCATGGCTCCGGGAATGCAGATGGTGGCAGCGGCATTGGCAGGCACAGAGACTTGACACCCCTTGCCACGCCTCCCTTTCCTGTGGAGGGAGCTTCCTTCCAGCAGTGCCCGCTTCTCGGGAGATACTTCCCACTAAAGATTCGTCTCAAAGCTGCGAGGCCTCGTGTATCCCAAATGCCCACTTTGGGAAGCCCTCCCAGCACTGCCGGTGCCATGGGACGTCCATTCCTCATCCAGCACCAGCTGCTGGGACTCCTCCTGCCCCTTTTGGCCTGGTCATGCCTCTTGTCCTGACTGCAGGATGCTGGGTCCTTCATGCCTCTCCAGCAATGCCCGCTCCATGCTCCGCACTCACAGCAGCACCCCACGGGAACACCCCAGCCCTTCGGCAGTGGCGAACCTGACAGCTGTGCCTGGGAACTCCTATTGCTGCAGTGGCGTCTAGCTGGAGGATGAGACTTTCTGGTGCTGACGCTGACGTCTTCATCTGGTTGGGGAAGAGAAAAAAGAAGAAAAAAACCTACACGCAAGCATTTTATACAGTTTCTGTGCAGTTAAAGCGAGAAGCTGTGTCCCCAGAGGCCAAAGCAGAGGGCTGAAACAGATTAGTTCCTTCCGAGAGATTTATTTTTGTTTTTTGGTGGTGTCTCAGTTGACGTTCCACCTCATTAGCAGGCATTGCATCGCAATGCCTTCTGCCATCCGCTTCCTGCGCGGGGAAGGCATGCGTCTTCCCCCCCGCCCCCCTTCTCTCTTCTGCCCCTCCCCAGCTCAGCGCCTGGCCCTTCGTGCAGAAGTTTTGCCACAGTGCAGCGTGGGCAGCCAGAGACCCAACTCCTCTCTCAACAGACATCCCTCTCCTTTCAACTCAGCAAAAGCAATTCAAATGTAAAGAAGTACTGCAGCAAGGGGGGGCAGATAGAGGAGACTCAGGCATTGGCACCTCGACGTGCTTCCTCCAAGCCATATTCCCGTCCCGTGGCTCTAGGCAGATTTCCCACCGCACTTGCCCTTGGATGGCAGTGGCATGGGCTGCTGTTGCTCAGCGTAGGAAGGACTGTACCAGGCTGAAGGCACAGAAAAGCCCTGCTCTCGGTCCCAAACACACAGTTGTTCTACTAACCGCCCCCTTCGGTATCCTTAAAAAACAGCCACGGAGGATTTTCAACCTCCGCACACAGAGCAGCATTGGGCATGCTCCTCACCTCCCCTCGCTACCACCAAGGGCCCTCTCCAATGGACATGTGGCAGGTCAGGTGTGAAGTGCATCAAGCCAGCTCTGTTTATTCCTAGCTGGTAGCCAGGGGATGTCAGGAGTTGAGCACTGGTGCATTAACTGTGTGCATTGAGGGCAGCATGTGTTTGAAGAGTTGGGGCTGTGCATGGATATGAATTAATGTTTCCACAGATGCATTAACATGAACATTTCTGGGTCCTCAGATCTCAGTCCTTCTGCTTTGTATGAGGGTCGCTTCAGTTTCTGCACGAATGTTTCTTTGCTTTTTAATACAGTATATAGAAAGGGATATTCCTGGAATGATTACGGGCAAGATGAGCTGATCCAAGAGGCCCTGTGCCAGCACTGTGACCTGAGAGCAAAAGCGGACATGCAACCCCAGCGTTGCTAATCCTAGTCTCACCCCTTGCCCTTGTTTAAAGATACAGGCTCTTTTTCTTTTGATGACTGATTGGTGAGTCCTTACAGGGTACTCGTTTCATATTTTTCTATCTAGAAACTTGCTCATAATGAATGCAGAAATTCTCCTCTAGTGACCTGACTCCAGGATCAGAGGCTTTATAGAAAACACCAGCTAGCTCAAGACTGCTCATAAACATCCCAACAGTTGGCCAACCTGCAACCTGCCAGCTGGATGGGCTCCTCTCCCAAGTGACAACTGGGATGGTATCCCTTTCCAAATATTTGTTGAAAGTCACTTAGACTAGACGGGCACCTTAGGGGTAAAGGTCACATTTAGAGGTGGCCTAAAACTCTACTAAACCTCAGGGGATCCAGGTGACACCAGGGGGTTCATTTCAGCACATTACAGAGATAAGGAACAGCTCAGCAGTTTGTTTCTGAGTTTCCCACAGTTCATAGACATTAGGGCTAGAAGGGACCTCGCGAGATCATTGAGTCCAGCCCCCCGTTGAAGGGGTAGGAAGTCAGCTGGGGTCAAAGGATCCCAGCAAGGTAAATGTCCAAATGTTTCTTGAAAGTGTCCAGAGTAGATGCTTGCACCCCTCTGCGGGGAGTCTGTCCAGGCCATGGGGGCTCAGACAGTAAAGAAGTTCTTCCTTATGTCCAGCCTGAAACGGTTTTGGAGGAGTTTGTGACTGTTAGACCTTGTCCTCCCTTGGGGCGCTCTGGTGAGCAGGCGTTCCCCCAGATCCTGATGCACCCCTTATACACTTACAGGTAGCCACCAGGTCCCCCCTGAGCCTGCGCTTCTCCAGGCTGAAGAGTCCCCTGGCTCTCAGCCTCTCTTCATAAGGCCTGTTCTCCTCCTCTCTGATCATGCACATGGCTCTCCTCTGGACTCTCTCAAGCTTCTCCACATCCTTCTTGAATTGTGGAGCCTGGATCCGAGGGTCACCCCAGAACAGATCTAAAATCCAGAGCTGAATTGAGGATCTTCTCATCATTGGGTTTGACTCTCTTTTGTGGGAAGAGAATGGTTCAAAAACACTCATTTCTCCTGGGACTCCTCTGCTAATGAACTGAAAGGACAAAGCAGCACAGGCTAGAGCAAGTCACTGGAAACCTTTAAATGTTAAGGGAAGAACACAAACAAAAAAATAATCCCAGAAGGTCAGGGCATTAACCCCCCACAGCAAGCAGATCGGAAAGGCTTGCAGCCCCCACTGGAAACAGCATGCCAGTGGGAAGGGGAGGAGGGGGTGGTAGCTGCCAGAGCCACGATGCCACAACTGGGTTTTATTTATTTATTAAGGAGATTTCTTTTCTTCTATAAGCAGGTCAGCCCAATTAAACCTGACAGCTTGTTTACAGCAGGCTCCTACCCGATGGCAGCTTCCGGAGAGGCTGCATTCAACAAGACAGCGCGTGAGAGGGACTAGGGCAGCCAGAGTGACCTGGAAGAGGTAGCAGCACGTGATTAAAGAGAGGGTTCAGACAGTGCTCCCGCTCTGCCAACCTGGACCTCTCCTCCAGGGCAAGGAGGGGAGCTCAGGAACAGGCACGATCCTGGTGCCAAACCCGACAGAAGCAGCATTGCGTGGGTCCGCTGAGTCCAGCAGCCAGCACCGTGTGCTGCAACGCAACGCCAGCTTGATGTGAAGTGGTCAGCTCATGAGAGACCAGAGAAGCAAGTGTATTTTATATTGTGTGAGAAGGCCAGATGCTTCCCCGTGGCAAGCTCAAAGGGCCTGTGCTTTGGGCCCATCCCCAGAAAACAGAAGCTCAAGGTGTCTGGGCTTCCCCCTAAACAGCCATCAACAAACGCCTCCCTCCGTCTAACCAATTCCTCCGAACCACTCTGATGCGCTGCATGTTGAGTTGCTCTGAGAGTGCCTTCGCTCCCATCCCACGCGACCACCCGCTCTAGCCACGGTAGAGCTTGAAAGCAGGAGGCTGCCTGAGAGCAGATCACTTCCAAAGGACAAAGGTGCGGAGGCAGAAGAGAGATCAGCCATTTGCCAGAGCCAGCAATTTTCTGATGGAATCCCAAAAAACCCCTTTGGCCTCTTCCTAAACCCCACCCCCCCATCTCTTCTACAGGCGAAGCAAGTATTCACAAGATGAGGTGCAAAATTCCTCTTCGACTTCAAACACATGTCTCCTGGCCAGTTACCCCCCGATTCCTGGCATATCCCACTGGAAAGCTCTTAATACAACCAGCTGGCAAGAGGCAGTACAAAGCTCTGGTTTCCCCTGCCATTCACGCCTCCAGATTACAACATCTCTCGTTGGCAGAGGAAACAAGGGGGGAAAAGCAGCCTGTTTTCCAAAGGGAGCCTGGCAATATCAGAGAGACTTTGAAAGCACTGTGCTTGCCTGTTTGCAAACAGAAAGGGGGAAGGAGGGCGAGAATAAAGTTCACATTCCTCCAAAGGGATCTCATGTCATTACAGACATCATCCCGTCTCTGCCTGGATGGAAGAGATTATTAAAAATGTCTCCCTCAGATCTATGTGCAGTAAATAATGTGAGCAGTTTTTAACGAACTCTGAATCCAGAGCTGCCATAATGCTGGTGTTGGTCTCAGGCTATTTCATAAAAAATCCTGCTGAGATGATTTCATAGATTTCATAGACATTTGGGCTGGAAGGGACCTCGGAAGACCATCGAGTCCAGCCCCCTGCCCCAGGGGCAGGAAGTCAGCTGGGGTCCTAGGATCCCAGCAAGATAAACATCCAAACATTTCTTAAAGGAGTCCAGAGTAGGCGCTTGCACCACCTCTGGCAGCAGTCTGTTCCAGGCCTTGGGGGCTCGGACAGTAAAGAAGTTCTTCCTTATGTCCAGTCTGAAACAGTCTTGGAGGAGTTTGTGACCATTTGACCTTGTCGTCCCTTGGAGTGCTCTGGTGAACAGGCGTTCCCCCAGATCCTGATGTACACCCCTTATATACTTATAGTCGGCCACTAGGTCACCCCTGAGCCTGCGCTTCTCCAGGCTGAAGAGTCCCATAGGTCTCGGCCTCTCATCCTAAGGCCTGTTTTCCTGCCCTCTGAGTATGTGCGTGGCTCTCCTCTGGACTCTCTCAAGCTTCTCCACATCCTTTTTAAATTGTGGAGCCCAGACTTGGATGCAGTACTTGAGCTGCAGCCTCACCAAGGCCAAGTACAGAAGGAGGATGACATTCTGGGATTTGCTTGAGAAGCATCTATGGATGCAAGCCAGAGTTTGGCTCGCTTTACCTGTTGCGACATCACATTCGTGGCTCATATTCATCTTGTGGTCAATCATGACGCCCAAGTCCCTTTCGGCTGTGGTGCTAGCAAGCGTAGCACTGCCGAGCCTATAAGCATGCAGTGGGTTTTTCTTCCCAAGGTGGAGTACCTTGCGTTTTTCAGAATTGAACGCCATCAAGTTTTCATCCGCCCATGTTCTGAGTCTGTCAAGGTCAGCCTGGATCACCAACCTGTCCTTGGGTATGGACGCTTTACCCCGAAGTTTGGGGTCATCGGTGAATTTGGCCAGTCCGCTTCTGATACCAATGTCCACATCGTTAAGGAAGATGTTAAAGAGTACAGGCCCAAGGACAGAGCCTTGGAGGACCCCACTGGTCGCAGCACACCACAATGATTGACTTCCGTCAACTACCACTCTCTGGGTCCGACCTTGGAGCCAACTCCCCAGCCAGTGAACTGTGATATAGCCGAGTTGCACTGTGTCCCCTTTGGGATAGTTTGATCATGGACAGACTCGGGCACTGAGCTGTGGCTGCATTTCCTCCGCTTCATCCTGCCCCCTCTGAGGTCTGTGGCACATTGGGTGTCAGATCAGCTTCATCTCTTATTATTTTCAGTTGAAACAGCTGACCAGTGGTGAAAATTTGGGGTTTCTGCTTCATATTCTCCTTCACAAGACAGGTCTGTTTTCCATGTAAAATAATAACTTTCCATTGGAACACTGAATACCTAAGATCCAAAATCTGAAGAAAATTTAATCTGAAAATGCCACCGAGGAGCATCACAGGGACGGAAGGCCCAGTGCCTTGTGCTGCCATTCTCCGCTAGGATGGCCACTCTCAACCAGAGTGCCACAGCACCCTAGGGTGCCTTGATATCCTTTCAAGAGTGCCATGGGGTACCATACAGCGTTAGCATGGATAGAGGCGCAAATACAATGCATAAGAGAAACCCAGAGATTTCAAATAGGAATCTATAGTGTTAAAAGCATTCTCACCTGCTGGGATCTGAGTTCTTTGCAACAGAAAAATTGCTCTATTATTTTGTCTCAGTCAAAAAACAAGAGCTGGCATTTTCCAAGGGGGACCTTGAGTCTACCGAGGCGGAGAACCACTGCTCTAGGAGCTGGCTCCCCAGCTGAACAACATCCTCCATGAAGCACTGCAGCAGCTCAGCAAGATGCCAGGTGGCTTGCGGCAGACGTAGTGCACTCAGAAAGCCCAGCTCAGAATGAAACCGGAGGGCAGAAAATCCCTGAACCCTGCTTCCCATGAAGCGGCATACCTACGTTTCTGAACGTAAGCTCTTCAGCAGTCTGCAATGCTCCATCAGCAGCGCTTCGTTTTCAGCATTGCAAACATTTCCTAAGTGTAGCACTAGGACCCGACTTCATTACCGCCCCCAGAGCACTGGCAATCAAGAAGCAAAAGCTCTCTGAAATGACTGCATTGCTTGGACCATGGCATAGAGCCTGGCAAACTAAAACACCAAGGGACAACCTCCATGTCACCTCCCCTGTGCCGCCCTGTTCCAAGTGACTCGAACAGAAACAGAACTGATTAGCCCTGTTGGAGCACAGCAAGGCCCCCAGCTCAGGGTATGGTCCAGCTTACCTAACACAGCTGCTTTGTGTTGCCATAATGATTTATTGCACCAAATACCTGCTTCATTTCCCACTCCCAATATAACCCTAGACTGTAGCATCTCTGCATCATCTCTTGCATACACCACGTACCTGCATGACTATACGTGTAGCCTTAGCACCTGCTTAAAAAGGCTAAATAAGAGACAAGAGGTTTATAGATTCATAGATGTTAGGATCGGAAGGGACCTCAATAGATCATCGAGTCCGACCCCTTGAATAGGCAGGAAAGAGGGCTGGGTCTAGATGACCCCAGCTAGATGCATATCCAACCTGGTTTCCAACCAGGATGCAGTAAGGTTCAAAGTCAAGGTTAGTTTTTGGTTCCAGGGTCTGTCAGAGCCAGGAGAGTGAAACCAGTCCCATCCCAATTATAATGGAGCAAATTAGATCAGGCGTACCTCTTCTTAACAAGAGTTGGGAACCATCTAGTAGAGCAGTGAGTAACTAGATAAGCTGCAGCCTGGTGCTTAAGTCACGTGGGACTGCTTCGGCCAATCAGAAAGGAAAATAAATCAGCAAATGTCATGCACACTCATCTGTCACTCTGCAAAGAGCCAAAATCTGTCTGGTGATGGCACACAGGAGGCAGCGAGAGTATGTCTGTGTACATGCACACTCTAGGAAAAGAGGTAGCAAACCCCAAGCTCTACTGCAGGGTCAAAGGTCCTCCCAGGGGCAGATAGGGCTAGGTTGGTTCAGGCCACCTTTGACTCCCCTGCCCAAATTACCAGCCCCCAATTAGAGCTGGGGCATGGTGGGGGTGGAGGCAACCTTTGGCACCCATCTACATCATCCACATTCATACCTTGCAAAGCTACCACAGCGCTAGTATTTACCTGGATGCAAACGCTCCAGGTTCTCATTGCATTCATGCTTCAGCAGCTATGTCCCATCAGCCATGTCCAATCAGCAACCTTGCCTGCACTGCATATTAAGTCATGTATTTTACAAGCAATCCAGTCATGGAAAAATACCACATCAGAATGGGTAGCTGTGCTGAAGGGTAACGTTTTCAAACTTGCTTAGCTCCTAAGTCACTCGGGGGCTTTTCGGAAATGTTACCTGGTGTTGCTATAGGAACCCAAATAGTTTACTTGTCTGACTTCTTTGCAACCTGAAGTGAACATTAACGCTGGGATCTGCCCTTGATTTGTTGCTTTCTGAAGCGAGAGAAGAGGGAAAAGAGAGAAAAATAGCTGGGTAAGCAGAGGTAGAGATGCACAAATGGATTTTGAATGTAGCTTCCCACACCTGAATTTCCACTGCTTTCTAGGCATGCAAAAATCCCCCCCAGGGCAGGAAGGAGACGGGATGCAGGAGCCACGAGACAACTGCTAAGGTGACACGTTTCAAAAGCACCAACCTATGCAGGTTTGAAAACTAATGTGCAATTGCTCCTATAGCTTTGCTTTATCCCTCTGGACCTCCCTGAGTTCCAGCTGCACAGGACATCAGAACTGTTCAGCCACTTCTCAATCAGGCATAACGTTACTGGGGTTGGTGATCTCACACCTTTGGCTGATGACAATGCAGCCAAATACAGGCCAGTTCCCTAGATCAATGATTCTCAACTGGGTGCCTTGAGATCCTTTCAAGGGTTATGCAGGATGCCCCACGGGCCAGGTACAGACATTACACTTTTAAGTGATCAGAAACCAGTCTATACCCGTAACAGAACAAAAGTTCAGCACGCAGTCAGGTTTAAAAATAGCAAAATCCCATCTTAGATTTTCCCCCGCACCAAAGGGCAAATGCGTGTTCTGTTCATTACCGATCTAAACTACGCCACTTACAGAAAACCGCTTAACTTAGATCACTTCCACCTCATGCTTTGTGAATGTCTGTACCTAGCCCCAATGGTAGCGCTGTTAGGTGTGCAAACACGACCGTGAGATAAACCCAGAGATTTCAAATAGGAATCTTTATATGAAAAACTATCTGACCTGTTGTAGTCTTCCTGAGTTTCTGCAACAGAAGAATTGCTCTATTATTTTTCTGTAGTCAAAAAACAAGCGAAAACTAAAAGCTAGCATTTGCCAAGAGGTGTCTTGAGTCTAAAACAGCGTGGAACCACTGCCCTAGATTCATTTACCCATTTTGAAGGGCCTGTGTTCCTGTCCTGATGCTTCTCCTGTCCTTAAATTGGGTCTCCGAGTATGTTGTCAGCCACAGCCCCATGAAGCTTGGTGTTCAGCTGATTTGAAGAACCTGTTCCTACAGTCCCTGTCTACGTAAAACACCAGTCGTCTCTCGTGGGTGACTGACAGTCACAATGAAAGGGAAACCCCATGTTCTGGGCAGGCTGCTTTGCACAGCCCTGGGCCTGGCACCTCCACGTGGTGCCCTGTCAGCAGTCTGCGGGTGGTGGATGTGTGTGGGTGGGCAGATGCCCATGACTTGAAACATGCATCCCCCCTCACCACTACACCCTATATGCCCCATGCTTTCCTGCTTCAGATCCCCTTCCCCAATACTCCTGATGCTGCCCTGTGCACCTC